GTGCTTGCTATATATTGTTGTTTAAAACATTAAATAATATTACATAAATATAAACACCATAATATAAGGATGTTTAGCATTGTGGGAAAATGAAGGATTAATAAGTCATATTAGTATTTCTCTATGTCACATAAATGTGCCTTCAACTCAATTTCCGCTGATATTTATCTTCTTTTATTTTAAGTAGACGCTTAAACTATTGTATAAAATTGAATGAGTAGACATACTCGTCCTATATTACAGTTCTCGTGAAATAAACTCGATTCTCGAAATGATTTGTGTTATGTTATGCGGGATGCATATTATGTTGTAACACTCGCAACTAGAAAGAAATAGAAAAAAGTTTAAAATCCAAAAATAATTACTTTTGGGAAGTATAAGGAAATTTGGAAAATTTTATGTTAAAAGTGAGTTTTTGGTCAACTTAAAACGACCATAACTCCTAGCTCATGATGAGTAGGTGTAGTTCCATATATGATTGAAAATCTCTTGAAATGATCTTTCGAACACTGTCAAGTTTGCATAATTCCGAATTCGTATTAACGAGTTATGTCTTTTGGAAGTTTGGGTGTTTTATCAAGGAAGTCCAATCAAAATTTGGGAAGGGAAAATTTGTTTTTTCCTTATCTAATTTAGGGAATAATTGGGGCTAAAGAAGACTTCTTTCAGTTTAGAAAGATTTAGAATTCATGCTAGGGCTTGGTGAAGAGAGGAAAGAAAAGAAAAGAGGAGAAATCAAGAAAATTCAGAGAACATTTAATCTTTTCCTGTGAAATTTGTCGGGAGTGATTCCTAAAAAGGTATGTGAGATCACATGGCATTGGGTTAGTTCAACCACGCACCAACCATGTTTCAATTAGGCGAATTTGAGTTTTGAATGTTAAGATATTGAGTTCTTAAAGAACATTGTTGAAAGTTTCATTGAGTTCTTGATGGTTGTGTTGTTGAAGTTTCTTGATGGTTTGAATCATGTTTTCTGGTGTAATTTCGGGTTGAATATATTGTAAATTGATAGTAATAATGATCTAAGTGTTTGGGGAAAGAACCATAGAAGTTTAGAGGGTTTGGAGATGAAAAACAAAGGACAAAAGTCGGAGACGCCTGGGGAGGGCCCTAGCACATCGCGCCTCTCAGAGCCCCAAAAGAGGCTCAATGAAGTTTGACCTCTGGGATGTGGCGCCAGCTAGAGCTCCCCACCCAACTCTATGATGTTTCAGGATGGTGCTCCACACCTCTCAGCGCTCCAACGACGTCAGTTCTCCTGATTTTTTCCCCTTCTTTCCGTACTAGTTCCTTAGTGATGTACCTATGTTTCTTAGTTGATTCCAACACTCTAAGGTACATCTATACATCATGAAATTATCCACAAACATGAGATCACGAACCTTGAATCTATAATCCAATTCAAGAAAAGTTAAGATAAAAGTCAAAGAAGTTAAGAGTCAAGTCTAAAAGTTAAGAAGCAAGTCAAAGAAAAGTTCTTAAAAGTTTTCAAGAGTCTTTAGCAATGTTTTAACCTTGTTTTTAAGACTAAAGTTTCAAGTTAAGTAAAAAGTAAAAAGTTGAGTTCATTCTCAAAAAGCTATAGAGAACTAAGTATTCCCAAAGAATTTATTAATGTTTTCACATTTAAAATAAGAGGAAACTATTTCCAAAAGATTTTTGAGCAAGAAAAGGACATTGATTCAAAGAGAGTTTTAAGCTAAGTGTTGAGTAATTATCTCAACATTAATAAAGAAGTTGTTTTAATAATACATGAGCTAAGTATATTTTTTGGAGTAGTATTGAGCACCGATATTAGAATGCGAGTTCATAATAACTCAAGTCTCCATAAACCATGTAGCCATCATGAATATTAAAGAATCATACTTTTTTTATTATCACTTAAGTTAAGCTAGTGGATCCACTAAATTAAGTAATTCTACTCAACAGTAAAATATAGGACAGTTCTGGCAGCGTGGGCAAGACGACGTATTACCACTAGACTTATAATGATGGTTGTCAGTTAGAGAATCTCCCACAGAAACTATGTTACTTCGTTATATAAGTAAAGTTGAGTTTGTTATCGCATTTTCTTTAATGAACTAAGTTGATTCAACTGTTTATAAGCTATATGTATATTGCATATGTCTTATTTCTTCATATTGAGTTAAGTTATTCCTGAGTTGATAAGAGCCGAGGTAAGTGTTTCCTTCATATCCTTTTCAAGCTCAAGTTGTGTTTAACAATCCAACTCGCATACTCGTACATTCAATGTGCTAATTCCAGTTGGTCTACCTCATCTTATGATCCAGACGCATGTAACTAGGATCGGCATCCGGCACACCGTTGATCCATTGAGTAACTCAGAGTCAGTTGGTGAGCCTCCTTACATTCCGGAGGACATATTTTATCTCTTATTTTATAGTTTTCAGTTGTTAGGATTATTGTGGGTCCTGTCCCAACATCTCTCTTTGTTTTAGAGGCTTCATAGACAGATACCATTAGTTCTTTTGTCTTATTCATTTCAGTTGTATACGTTTAAGACTTGAGTTACTGTTTGGCTAAGTTATTATCTTCTCTTGTGTTTATGTCTTTCATTGTGTAAGTAAGTCAGACTAACGGTCCGCTCGAGGCCAACAATGACCTTCGAGAATCAGCAATGCGCAGGGTGTAGGCTCGGAGCGTGACAATCAAGTAGGATATGTGTGATTACTTGTTCACACTCAATATTGGACACTAATCGATGTCAATCAAATCTAAGTTAAAGGACATATTTATGTGTTATGCCCATTTTTCAGAGTTTCAAGATAAACATTATTTTTTGGGTAGGTGATGATACACTAGAGTCTTAGTAACTACTATAACTCTTTTGTCATAACATGTCGTTTATTTATAAAAGGAACATGCAAAGAACACACAGTATAATAATATATATACCTCATAAAATTGATAAGTGAAGTCTGGAAAAGATGATGTGTATCAATTTTATCTTACCTTCTTAAAGTAGAAAGATTATTTTTAATAGATCCTCGACATAATAAACTTAAAAAATATATGATTATTAATATGACGTTTAGGATATTCTAATACCTTGATCGTTCAAAATTTAATAATAATTTACTCATTTGATAAGATTGTATAAGAATTGAACAAGTTTTAATAGTTTTTCATAAATTGTGAAATTATTATGTTCATGAAACAAAACTTTAGAAGGGGAAATTTCCCAAACATACACTAAAAACAACTTAATTAGGCTCCATATTTATAGTATATTAATTAGGATTCGTAGCTACATGTTAGAGGGAGGGGAGAGGCTAGCGAGAGCGGGCATAAAATGGAAAGGGGCGAATTGTATTTGTATATATGTCAAATTCTATATGTATATCTTTTAGATAATGGTATATATGTAACTGGAATAGATATGCATTTGCTGATCTAGCGAGCTAGATTTGAAGAGGGAGGAGAGAAGCGAGCAAGATTCAGAGAGAGGCGGATTGTATTTCTATATTTGTCAAATAATTGTATATGTATAATTTGTATTTGTATATGTATATGAAAGGAGAGAGGTGATAGAGAAGAAGAGAGGAGAAATGCCCATGTAATTATAGTTAAAATGAGGTTGATAGTGATAATTAATTCAAACAATAGCCATGTTATCCAATTAAATAGCATAAGTTTACTTATCCGCATAATTGCACTTATTTTTTTTTAGTTCAAATTACTTGAAAATTATTGAAGTGATGATGTGACATATTCCTATATAATTTGATAGAAGTAGTAAATGTCACAGGGTGATAATATGACTCGTGGTGATATTGTTCACGTAATTAAGCTTTGTGGAAGTAAGAGAGTCCCATTTTGATAAGAAAAGTCAGAAAACGTAATATTTTAAAAGTCTAAATCTTTTTTTAAAAAAGTAAGAGCAATTTTTTTTATCCAATAAATATTAATGGTAAAAATTGTAGTTGAATTCATTTCACTTAGTTGTAAAATAAACTTAAACGAATAACCGATGAACTAATAACGCAAAAGTTAAATCAAGTAACGAAATGAAGAAATAATGGGTTCGATGGATTAATAATAATTAAGCATGCCACAATCATCATGCGGCAAGTATATACACAATATTTTATGGGATCTATAATTTCGTTATTTGATTTAACTTTTTGTATAAATGAAACGGATTATCTGACATGTTTTAATAAAACAGTTAATTAAGAACATATTATTTTTATGTGAAAATAGTCAACTCAAAAAGATGTAATAAAAATCATGAAATGTACCTCTACAAGATTTATTCTCAAATTTACTAAATTCAATGAACTTTGCGACAAAAGATTATAAACCTTTATAATTTAAGAAATTATAAATTCTAATTTTTCAGCAGCACACAAACCTTTCGAGGTATGTGTTTCCAAGTCTTTGAGTTGCCCACAACTTAAAGACTATAATTCTACTTCTACTAATTGAGACAACGTATCTTTGACCGTTTTGACTGACATGTTTCATTTTTCTTTGTTAATTATCAAAATTACATAAATTCGAACAATATATATGTATAATTAATCATCATGTGGCCAATGTTCATTATTCCAACTAATATATATTTGTGTTAAGTAGGGATCGTAAAAGGGAAAATGTCAATGTTTCTCTATTTTCAGGAGTCAGACTCGAGATCTTTGAAAAAGGTGTGAGGAATATAATTTCATTCATCTCATTACACTCATGCGTTGGTAAATTTTAGCTTTGAAATGTCTAGTTTACATCCAAAATAATTTAAGCTATGTATATATTTTTCAGTATTTCGATTGAGAGGTATAATCCTCTCATTTACACAATGCAATAACACAATATGATCTTAAGAAACCTAACACAATATGATCTTAAGAAACCTATCTCTAGATTACAACATTCAATACAATTTGTATGCTAAATTCTCTTATTTCAATCTTTATTGGTATCTAATTACTTATGGTATCCAAATTCAATCCAATTCATCATCATCATTCTCTTATAAATCAATATAATAGCTTCAACAACTTTTTAACCCCTTCATCAATAGCTTTCAATTTTATCTTCTCACTCAATTGCATTGCCTTCTGAATTTGTTTCCTAGGCTTCTCCTCTATCACTTTCCTTATTCCTTTTGCCACCTCTTCTTTCATTATTTTCCCATTTTCACCTCTCAAAATCTCCACCCCTATGCCAAGTTCCTCCACTAATCTTGAATTCAATGGTTGATCATGATTCATAGGCATGGCTATTATTGGTATGCCAAAACTCATGCTTTCTAAAATCGAGTTCCATCCACAATGAGTTATAAAACCTCCAATGCTTGAATGGTTCAAAATTAGACTTTGTGGTGCCCATCCTTCAATAACCATCCCTTTTCCC